GAGGAAAACTAGCCTAACAAATCTCTTCTTTTTTGACTATATGAAGGGAATCACCATTTTGGAGATCGAACGGTAAACTTTAAACTTTTCCTTGGTAGTGTCTTTGTCAACATATAAGAACCATTATAATCAATATGAATCTTCTCAAGTTCAAACAAGTTACCATTGAAAACATCTTTTAACCAATAATGCTTCACATCAATGTGTTTTGATTTTAAATAAAAAGTAGAATTCTTACCAAGGTGAATTGCACTTTGAATTTCACAAAATATCACATAGCATTGCTGCTTGAAACCAAATTCTTGTATGAACTTTTTCATCTATAACAACTCCTTACATGTTCAATTACTGTAATATACTTTTCCTTTCTTGTAAAAAGTGCAACACATTTCTATAGTCTCAATTGCCAAGATATAGCCCTATTTGAAAATATAATAAAGACTTTAAGGAATCAACATCTCTTGCTATATTTGTACTAGCTCGGTACGCCCAACTTAGCTTGGTTTTTCATTTCTAAAAGTGAAGTTCTCAAGTTTGAAAGTGCCTATAAGACTATCTCATAATTCACTTAACTCTATTTTAATGCTCTCTTCTTGAATTTGATAGAAAACGGCTAACAGCACTAATTGCATGGGCTATGTTTGGCCTAGTATATACCATTGCGTACATTAAACTTTCTACTATTGAAGCATATGGAACTATTCTTATGTCTTCTTCTCCTTAGCTATAGAAGGGCTTTGATTAATACTTAACTTAAAATGTGTAGCAAGAAGAGAACTAACCACTTTGACTTGATCCAATTGAATCTTTTAAGTACATTTTTAATATAGTGCTTTTATGACATGTACAATTTCTTGGTTGCTTTACCTCGATGAATTCGAATTTCAAGAATTATTGTATTGATCGTAAGTTTTTCATAACAAAGGATTTACTCAATTACTTCTTCAACTGGTCAATTCTAAACGCATTCTTGTCAACGATCAATATGTCATCAACATAAAGCAATAATATTATAAAAATCATTAGAGAATTTTTGCATAAACACACAAAGGTCAGAAGTAATTTTTTCAGTAGCCTTGCTTACCCACAGCTTACTTAAACTTTTGTACCATTAGCTCGATACTTGCTTTAACCATAAAGATTTTTATTCAACTTACACACAAAGTACTATTTTCTTTTACTATAAAACCCTTTGGTTGCTCCATGTAAATCTCTTTGTCTAAGTTATCATGAAAAAAGTAATTTTGACATCCAACTGCTCAATCTCCAAATCAAGACTAGTTGCTAAACCTAGAACCACACGATTAGATGACATCTTAACAACTGGAAAAAAGATTTCATTAAAGTCAATACCTTTCTTCTGATTGAATCCCTTAACAATGAATAGAGCTTTGAAACATGGTTGTGAAATGTGTTCTTCTTGCTTCATTCTATATACCCATATATTCTTTAAAACCTTTTTTCTTTTAGGTAACTTTACCAGCTCAAAAGTATTATTTTCATACAAAAATTTTTTTCTCATCTTGCATGGCATCAACCTACTATTTCCTATGTTCATCTTTCATGGCCTTTGCATAACATTCCGGTTTTCTCTCATCGTTAGTAGTATATATTTATCAATAGAATATCATGTGGAAGGTTGTCAATATTTAGTAAGCCTTCTAAGTGAAACTCTGGTAAAACCTCTAGTTGAACCTTTGATACTGGTGACTATTCATGAGTATCATTAACCTTTTCAACCTGTGTAGGACTGGTATTGACATCACCTATATCATGTTGGTTATCCTGAATATCTTCAACCTTTGTAGACACATGTGTTAGAAGAATTAAATCCAGGTCAATCAAACCATCACTGTATCGTGAAATTGATGTATCAATCTTTTTAATATCTTGTATAGTCTGGTACTCAATAAAAACAACATCCCTACTTCTTATAAGTTTTTTTTGCAATGGATTATAAAACTTGTAGCTAAACTCATCTTAGCCATTACCAAAGAATACACACTGTTTAGTCTTGGCATCAAGTTTGGATATTTCATCTTTAGGAATATACACAAAAGCTTTGTATCTAAAAGTGTGCAAGTGATCATAGGACTCATCTTTACTTGACCAAACTCTATCTAGAACATCAAAATCTAAAAGAACACATGGTGAAAGATTTAAAATATGTACAATTGTACCTAAAGCCCACCCCAAAAAGATTTTAATAATTGTGTTTGTGAAAACAAAAATTTCACGTTTTCCACTAGTGTCATGTTTATCCTTTTAGCTAACCCATTTAATTGAAGAATTTTAAGAGGTGACTTTTAATGTCTAATGTCTAATGCCCTACTGTTTGTAATACTCATCAATATGTCCAATGTACTCACCCCTATTATTTGTTCTAATGCATTTCAATATTAACCCTGTTTGTCTTTTAACTAAAGTATGAAATTGTTTAAACGCATCTAACACTTAGTTTTTTGATTTCAAGGTATAAGCCTATATCTACCTTGAATGATTATCTATAAAAGTCACAAAATAGATGAAACCATTAAATGTTTTTGTTTTCATGGGACCACAAACATAAGAATATACTAAATCAAGTATACTTAACTTTCTTGACGCAATGGATGTCTTGAATGCAACTCTGGTTTATTTCCCTGCCAAGCAATGGGCACACTTCTTCAAGGATATATTTTTCACTCCAAAAATAAGATTTTTCTTGGCTAAAATCTTTAAACCCTTTTTGCTTATGTGACTATGTTGCTTGTGCCAAAGCTTAGTTGTGTCATCATTATCTATTACATTAATAATGAAATTAGATACCTTTGCCTATATCAAATACAATAAGAAATATTTCGTACCCCTAACTACAATCAGAGAACCTTTAGTGAGCTTCCACTGACTATCACAAAAAGTGTTACAAAACTTTTTATTATCAAGCTTTCCTATAGAAATCAAATTCATGCAAATATCGAAAATACATTTAATATTTTTAAAGATCATAAGAAGTCTAAACATAGATCCAAGTTTAGAGATAAAATGAAGTACTTTCATTATGGTAAGGCAAGTCATATAAAATGACAATGTAAAATCTTAAAGTAATAGCAGAAAGATGAAAAAGATAATAGTTCAAATGATGGCAATGTTGTAGTAACAAATTTAGATAGTAATTCAGTTACTTTGATTTGTACATATAATGATTGTAATCATGTTGGTGATCCTGACATTGAGTGGATAGTTGACACAGAAGCAACATATCATTGTGTTCTTAAGAGGGAGTTATTTATAACTTACAAAGCATGAGACTTTGGTTACACCAAGATGGGAAACAAGAGTGTATTATATAGATTATTAGGATTGGTGATAATATTGTATAAATTAGTACGAGCTGCATGTTGACATTGAGAGATGTCAGATACATTTTAGATATGAAAATTGACTTACTTGTTATTAATGTTCTTGATAAAAAAAGATATGAGAGTCGACAAAAGAATGGACAATGAAAGCTTCCCAAATGATCTATGGTAGTTGTAAAAGAAAAACTATGCAGCACAATATATAAGACATGGATACAATTGAACGGTAATAAGATAAATGTCATTAAAGATAATGCTTCAACAAACTTATGCACAAGAAGTTGACACCCATGGAGTGAGAAAAGTTACAGATTTTTGGTAGATAGTCTCTCATTCTTTTTGACCAAAGGTATATATCTTGATTGATGTGATCATTGTTTTGTTGGTAAGCATTGTAGAGTTTCTTTTTTAAGAGGTTCTCAGAAAAAAAGACTGACAATTATTTATTTCTGACGTATGTGATCCCATTGAAGTTGGAGTCATTAGATGGTAGTAGGTTATTTTGTTACTTATTTTGATGATGTTCACATAAGACTTTGTATTATATGTTAAAAACAAAAGCCAAGGTATTGTAGTATTTTTTAAAAATTTTATTCATGATGAAAAGGGGATGATAGGATTACTCTTGAAGTGTATTCGGACTGATAATGGTTGAAATACACATCCAAAGACTTTGAAAAGTATTGTTCAAAGCATGGGATCAGGTATGAGATGACAGAACCTAGAACATCATAGTATAATGGTGTAGCTGAAATGATGAACCGCACCATTATGAAAAAAATCAGATGTGTATTAAGGATGGCAAAATTACCAAAGCCATTTTGGGGTGAAGCAGTCAACACAACTTATTATTTGTTTAACAAATTACCATAAGTTCCTTCAAGCTTTGACATTCCAAAAAGAGTGTGGATAGAAAAAGATACTTAATACTTTCACTTGAAAGTTTTCGGGTGTAAAGCATTCATGCATGTGCCAAAAAAATAGAGGTTAAAGCTTAACGGTAAAGCCACATAGTTTGTGTTTGTAAGATATAATGATGAGGAATTTGGCTTCAGGGTATGAGATTCAGTAAAGAGAAAGTTAGAAGCAAAGATGTGATCTTTTATAAAAAAGAAATCATAGTAGACCTTGAAAAAAATGAAAAGACTACACGAGTTATTGTTAAGTGTGATGTTTCAACATTAATAAAGGTTCTACAAGAAAGAACCACAGATGGTGGAAATGAGCAAAAGAATAAAACTTGAGGATATAAATAAGCCAATCACAGTTAGTGATGAGCTAGATGCAATCAATTTTGAGTAGGGGCAACAATCCTTTCCACCAGAGAGTGTTGAGCATAGGGAGCTACCTTCGACATCAGGTGATGTACAGTCTCAACCTAAGAGATCTACAAAAGAGCGTAGGTCATCTACTAGGTATCCAAGTTTAAATTTTATTTTAGTTATCAATGGAGAGAGCCAAAAAGCTTTCAAGATGTGTAAGTTACTCCGGATAGAAAACACTAGTTAAAAAGAATGAAAGAAGAGATTGAGTCATTATGAAAAAATAGTACTTATGATCTTGTTAAACTTTCAAAAGAAAAGAGACCATTGAAAGATAAATGGTTGTTCAAGTTAAAGAATGATAGTGACAAACTAGTGAGGTACAAAGCTTGATTAATGGTAAAACATTTTTTTCAAAAACCAAGCATCGATTTTGATGAGATCTTCGCTCTAGTTGTTAAGATGAGTTCTATTCGAGTGGTGCTGGGATTAGCTGCTAGTTTGAATATTGAGCTTGAGCAACTTGACATGAAGACTACATTCTTGCATGGTGACTTACAGGAAGACATTTATATGAATCAACCTGAGGGTTTTGAAGTAAAAGAGAAAGAGCACTTAGTTTGTAAACTAAAGAAAAAGCTTGTATGGCTTGAAACAAGCTCCGCGATAGTAGTACACAAGTTTCATTCTTTTATGGTGAATCATAGCTATAAAAGAACGATAGCGAATCCTTGTGTGTATGTCAAAAAATTTTCTTGATGGTAACTTTATTATTCTCTTATTATATATTAATGATAAATTGATTGTGGAACAAAATACTGGTATAGTTTGCAGGTTAAAAAAATAATTGTCTAAGTCTTTTAATATGAAAGATTTAGGTCTAGCAAAATAAATTCTCGGTATAGACATTATCTGGGATAGGAGAGTTGAAAAGCTATGGTTGTCACAGAAAAAGTATATTGAATGAGTGCTTAGTAGATTCAACATGCAACATGCTAAATTAGTTAGCAATCCACTTGCCAACCATTTTTATTTAAGTAAAAAATCTTGTCCGGTGTCTAAGGAAGAGCAACTAGCTATGTCTAGTATTTTTTATTCTTCTACAGTCAGTTCTTTAATGTATCTTATGGTTTGTACATGACTTGACATTGCTCATGCGGTTGGTGTAGTAAGTAGATTTCTTTCTAATTCGAAAAAGGTTCACTAGGAAGCAGTGAAATGGATTTTCAGATATTTGAGAGGCACCTAAAAAATGTGCTTGAGTTATGGAGTTTCACAACCGGTTCTAGAAGGGTTTACTGATACCGACATAATAGGTGATATTGATGGTAGAAAATTTACTTTAGGGTATTTGTTCATTTTTGCAGGAGAAACTGTGTCTTGACAATCTAAGTTACAGAAATATGTTGCTTTATCAAGTACAGAGATTGAGTATATTACAACAACCAAAGCGGGTAAATAAATGCTTTAGATGAAATGTTTTCTTCTTGAATTGGGATTGCATCAGAAAGAGTATGTGATGTTTTATGATAGGCAGAGTGTTTTAGATTTGAGTAAGAATGTCATGTACCATGCCAAAATAAAGCACATTGATGTTAGATATCACTGGTTACGTTCAGTGATTGAGGAACAACAAATGCTATTTAAAAAAAGTCTATACTGATGAAAATCTAACAGATATGTTAACTAAAATACTTTTCAAAGAAAAGCTTGAGCTCAATAGTAACTTGGCTAAAATGAGTTCTTTGGCCAAGGTAAATTTTAAATGAAACTGCTACGTTGATAAATCTTCTCTCAATGGGGCTGAAAAGGGAGATTGTTAGGAAAATGAGATCTAGCCCTATGCAATTGGTTTTGGACCAATTAAAGGCCAAAGGCCTTGGTCTTTCTTTTTTACACAGAGCTCTAACTACTTAATAAAAAGAGATGAGGTTGTTTTGAGGTGGCATCGCAAACTAAGAAAAGAAAAAAGAAAAGCCAAAAAGATAGAGAGAAAAAGGAGAAGGCAGAGTTGGTTGAACGGAAGTCGATCCGTGATCCAATTGAGCTAAAATTTGTCAATAGATTTATGATTCAAAGTTCTACATTCTAAATGGTGAAGATAGGGTTTGAAGCTCTCTAGGAACAAATATAGTGTATATTTGTTGAGTCACCTATTTGGTGAGATTTCTCTAATTGTCTCTCTCTAGTTGTTGATTAGTTCTAGTTTTAGTTAGAGAAGAACTTTGTATATCCATTATTTAATAGTGGAGATTTTTCTAATGGTTTATGATTTTTTCCTCTACACTTGAGGGTTTTTCACGTAAATTTTGATATACTTTATTTTTCTTGAGTTGTAATTGTTGATTATTGTCTATTACTGTAGATTTATTATGATATATTGCTTCTGTGTTGTTGTATTTATTACTTCGGGTCCAACTGTATTTGCCTACGTAACCAAATCAGTTGGCTTGTTTTCAATAAAATGCCTTTGCTGTTATAACTTAAAAGAATAAAGGTTGAGAAGATAGCAGAGTTCAGGCATTTTATTTCGTTTTACCCATTTTCTTTAGTTCTATTAGCCAGATTTAATGAACAATATTTTACCTTTTTTTTTTGTCTTAATTTTTGTCGAAGCAATTATCAAACAGACAATGTAATATGGTATTACAAATAATATTCTTACAATGAAGACAGACAAACCCATCAAACTGAGGAAAAGATGTGTAGATCATAACCTTCAAGCATAGACTGTACTATTTAACAAAGGTCACGACCCATTTGGGTTTACCCATTCGAAGAGCAAAACATCCGATTGCCACTCCAAATATGAATCCAAATCCATAACCAATCAAAACAACTTTCCACCCAAATTCAAGTTTTGATCCATCGTCTTTCCCGGAGTTCATCCATGGTGCTGGTTGTTGTGACTCATTACCGCTGCAACCTCTAGAGAGTGGAGGTCCACATAATCCCTTATTTCCTTCATACGAACCATTTTCAAAAGTGTTGAACTGCTTGCCTTGTGGTATAGGCCCAACAAGTTGATTACATGAAACGTTGAAGAAGGAAAGAAATGTCAAATCTACCAATTCCCTTGGAATTTGCCCACCCAATCTATTGGAAGAAAGGTCTAACCATTCAAGACTAGTCATATTTCCAAGGGACGATGGGATATGACCAACGAGATTGTTATGAGAAAGGTTAAGCCCTCGGAGTGAACTAAGCTCTCCAATAATTCTTGGAATCTCCCCTTCAAATTTGTTATTAGAGAAATCAATGCTGGTGAATATAGTTAAAATCTTAACCAATTCAATCTCCAACCCTTTTACGACTAAGGCAACAGAATAATCATACGAGTAATTTCTTTCCTGCATGTAGCTCCTAGCTTTGCCTTTGTCAAGATTCATCATTCCTCTAAAATTTTTGATATAGCTGGTCGGTAAAGGACCGAAAAAGCTATTGTTGGAGAGATCAATAATTCGCAATTTTGGAAGAGATTGAGGGTTCTTAGAAGCACCTGTTGAACCTGCGAACTTATTGGAACTTAGTACAAGAACTTGCAACTCTGATAGTGCTTCGATCCAATGAGGAAAAGTATCGTTTATCTTGTTGTTGCCAAGATCTAGCACTTCCAAGTCTTTGCAATTGCTGATTGATTGGGTCAGAGGCCCTCCCAAATGATTGCTATTCAAGTTCAGATTCTTCAATCCACATCCTTTTGCAAATGTTGGAGGAATGATTCCATGGAACTTATTCATCTTCAAGTTCAACGATGAAAGCCTTTGGCTAAAGCTTCCAATACATTGTGGGATGATTCCCCTAAAGTTATTATGAGACATATCGAGAATCTCCAGAAACTTCACACTGCATATATCAGAAATATCTCCAGTCAAGTTGTTGTTTGAGACTGATAGGAATGTGATATTACGGGGTAATATTGGTAGATCACCTTGAATGAAATTGGAATGGAGGTCAAGAAACTTAATGTCTTTCCATGGAAAATTGGAAATTTGGCCATCAATTCTATTATAAGAAAGGTCTAAAGAATTTAATTTTTTTGATCCTTTTAGAAAACTAGGAAATTCATTGAAGTTGTTAGACGATGAATTCACATATTCAAGGTTAGGTAAGACAAAGTTGACTCGGTTAGTGGAGCTTAGCGATAGGGTATTAGATGAAAGATGCAGCTGGTTGAGATTTTGAAGCTCTGAGAACATGTCCCAACTTATTGTCCCGTTTAGACTATTTGACGATAAATCAAGAACAGTGAGGTTCACAAGTTTTGATATTGAGCTTGGAATAGAACCCTGAAAGCTGTTATTTTTAAAACTATAGTTTCCAAAAAACTATGTTCGAATTCATTGATATGACCAATTAACTGATTGTTTCCAAGATCCAAAAAAGACAAACTTGGATGCGTATAAAGCCAAGATGGTGTTGTACCGCTGAGTAAGTTATTAGATAAATCTAGAAAGCCGAGATTTGGAAAGGCATTTGGGTTATCAGGAATGGAACCCTCCAATCGGTTGGAACAAATCTGAAGAATTGCCAGTTGTGTGAGGTTAGTAAATGAAGATGGAATCTCACCACTAAAATTGTTAACTGAGAGGAATAAAAATCTTCGTTGGGATAGATTTCCTAGTGATATTGGAATTGATCCTGAAAAGTTACAACCAGTAAGATCCAAACCCAGTAAAGACTTCAAATTTCCAATTGATTCGGGCAGTTCTCCAGAGAAAGACGTAAGAGAAGTATCCAAAACCTCAAGAGGACTACTCCAATTGGGTTTTGGAAACTGACCAGTGAGACTGGGGTTTCCATTCAAAATGAGTTTCTTGATATTGGGAAGGCTGAAACTGTTCTCTGGAAATTTTCGCCGCAAATCACAAGAAGTAAGACTAAGAGATGTCAGAGAATAAGATAGATTCATGAAGGATTTAGGATCAACCGAGGACATATCTATTCCATCAAGAATAATTTCTCTTACCTCTGTTAGGTTCCGAACAATTCCATTTAGAGTAGATTTTTCAAGTTTCAGTTTTGGTTCAAGTGCCTGACTACTGTCAATCAAATAAACAGATGGATTGGGGGAAAGATTCAGAAAAACTAGTTTGGATAGATAGGAGATTTCATAGGGAACTCGGCCGGAAAACCAAGAATTGGAAAGGTCAAGGTGTGTTAAACTTGCAAAGCGACCAAACTTGGATGAAATTTTGGATTTCTTGAAATCATTGAAAGATAAGTCAAGCCTTTGCAAATTTGAAAGAAGGAAGAGGCTGGTGTTTGAAGGGAGGGTGCCAGAAAGCCAGCTACAACTCAAGTCAAGGTTGATTACATGACCGGTGATGTTGTCACAGCTGACTCCATCCCATAAGCAGCAATCTATGCCCTCCTTCCACGAGTTGGTTTTAGGATAAGATCTAATGTTTTCACAACCTATGGAAGCAGTTTTCTTGATGGAAAATAGGGTTTTGAATTGGAACAAGGCAGAACTTTCATCACGAGAGCACAATTGTGTTGCTGAAGAAGAAGATGATAAAAGAGTAGCTTGAATACATAGAAATAATAGGAAGCAAAGTAGTTGATACAAGATTGGCAAATATCTCATCTTGCTAATTCAAGGGATGTGTAATGTGATGGATAAGGGTAGTGAGAAAGTATTCATCATGTATATTTATAATCGAAAGTAGAACTTAATTCAGTAGATTAATATAATTATTTTTAAGAAATAACATTTAATATATTTGGATTTCAAATCAAAACACTTTTAATTTTTTTCTCTTATCTTTAAGCTGGATCTTTTATGTGAAAAAATATATTTATAATCAAATTTTCTACCAAAAATAATTATTAAAATAATAAAATCAAATGAAATTTTGAAAAATGACACCAATCCTCTCTTTCTCCTTCATCCTTTTTTATCTATTTAAATTTTACTACATAGTCGTGTTATTAAAAAAATCAACAATTTATTATACATCATTTGTGATAATTAAATGGTGAATATTTATTTCAATAGACTTATACATGCGATGTGTAATAAATAATTGACTTTCTATATTAACATTATTTGAATGACTAAAAATGATTCTAAAAATATATCAAACTTCATTAAATATTTTTAAAATTTTACACACTTAATCTATTTAGTAAAACCTTTCAATCCATTAGTTTTGATTTTCAATTTTAATTTTAATTTAATATTTTTAATATAAAATTTTATAAATTTCACTTAAAAAACTTTCTCTAAATCTTTCATGATGAAAAAATAATTGTTCCATATATATATATATATATATATATTCAGTTGGCAGTGTTGTAATTCATTGATATGCACAAAATTTGTATTGTTATGAGTCTAAGAAAAAAGTTCTAGTTGATTTTAAACTGTAGCATGCATCCTATTCAAATTAGAATGGGAAGACTTATTCTTTGCCTCAAAAGCCAAAAGCAATAACAGCAAACATTTAGAAAACAGAGGAAAAGCTAGAAGGGACTGTTGAGAGAGATGAGACTACGAGAGTGAGAGTACCACTTCCGGTATCTTTCCTCAAATATTTTTTATTTCCAACACAGTGGGGGTCATTTTTCTCATTTCTTCTCTGGCTTGTAATTGGAAAATTAATAAGTATTCTTATATTATTGGGATAAGACTTAAGTAAAATTTATAAAATTTTTCATTAAAAATAAATAAATAAATAAAAGTTTTAATAAAAAATTTAAATTAATAAATTCATAGAGTTTGATATAAGATCAATAATATATTTGTATTAAACTATACTGATTAATTATGGATTTCAATAGATCTTAGAAATGAAAGAATCGAGTGAAAAGAAAAAATATATTAATTTTATTTTTTGAATCTATTAAAATTAATAATTAAAAAAATTTAAAATCAATTGTTAGAAAATCAATGGATCTATTAAAATCTATTAAAATCTTATTGTGTAAGATAAGCCCGCTCTTTATTAAAAATATTATTTATAATTTAAATTTAATTAATATTTATTTAAAGATGAAAATTTAATTAAAACTTTTAATATAAATATCTATTAAAAATATATCAAAATTTATTATTATTTTTTAAAATTTAATAAATTTAATTTATGTAACAAAATGTTTTAATCTATCATATTTTATTTTATTTTTATTTTATTTAATAAATTTTAATATTAAATTTCATAAATTTCACTTAAATAACTTTATCTATTTTTTACTTATTAGTGGTAATGTATCTTACTCTTCTATATTTTCGTGTTGAAAATAAGGAAAAGTTCTTGAATGGGAGTTAATTAGAAAGACATCCTATTATCTTATAGTACTTGAATCCACTTTCCTCAGGCTTACATATTTCAAGAACAATTTTAATATTAAGAATTTCCATTATGAATTATGCGTCAAGTTGATGAACGTATAATACACGTTAATTAAATTATGTGGGTCCGTGCATATGTGGTTAGAATTGTGAGACGTTCAGGACAGCTTTAATTATATTTACATATATATTTTTGAAATTATCAAAATTAAAATTATGATTTATTTAATTTAAAATAATATTTTTAAATTTAATCATTTTGATTCAAAAAATATAAAAATTATATTAGTGTAAATAAATTATATATATAAAAGAGAGATACACTTAAATTAATATAAGAGCTATATTTGTGGTAACAATAGCCAAGTAAAGTCATTGAAAGTTGCATTTTGATGCTTGTCGTAGAACTTTTTTTAATCAGAACCAAAAATATTTTAAATGTCATTAGATTTTCATGAAAACCAATGTCTTGAGTAGACTGGATTTTTCAATTAGAAAATTTAGGCTCCAAGTTGAATAATTTAAGCAGACAGGATTGCAATTTCTTCATATATCTCAATCTTACAACAGTAACTGCTAAGATTTTTCAATTAGAAAATTTAGGCTCCAAGTTGAATAATTGGGCAGACAGGATTGAAATTTCTTCATATATCTCAATCTGACAACAGTAACTGCTAAGAAAGAAGTTGGAAATTGATAATTGCTTAATGTTATGGAAATGAAAAAGAAAGATGGTTGTGAAGTTTCTACGATGCCTCATGAAGAAAAAATGAATTTTGCAACATGCTTTTTCTAGTTGATTTTCAGTTTCACCAATCTAAGGCGGTTATGGAAACTTCATATCATGGACCAGTTGCTTTGTTTAACGCGATTGACGAGATCGTGACTTTAACTTGTTTATTGGGCTGGATAATTTAGAATTTTATTAAATTGCGTAAACTAAAGTCTTGTTAAGATAGAAATTGTGCATTAAACACGGCAATGAAATTATGGCATATTCCTACAGGGTTGATTTGTCGTTTTCCATACAGTGGAATTAGATATTGATCCTGTTATCTTACGTACCTCTGCTTTATGCCAAAATAGATTGCCACTAGTGTAGTGGTGTTGGTTGCTTGAAGGTGAATTTTATTATTATAATGTGGGTTAATATTGAATTTTGTCATTATATTTTAAATTTATTGAATTTTATCATTTTACTTTCAATTTCGTTGAAATTTGTCACTCCACTTTTAATTTTGTTGATTTCTTGACACGAAACACTGAAAATGATGGAAAATTTTTCATTTCTTTAACAAAGTATTTGTAAAATATTCTAATTTCATTTCTCTTATTCAAAAATTAATAAAATTGAAATTATAGCAACAAAAATTTTCATTTGCATTAACAATAAATTTCGAGAAATATTTTGATTTCATCATTTTTTTTTTGTCCTATAACCAATAAAATTGAAAGCATAGTGGCAAAGTTCAATAAAATTTGATAGTATAGTGGCAAAATTCAAGGAAATTGAAAGAAGAGTGATATAATTCAATACTTCTTTATGATACAATAGCAAATTTCATCTTTATGCTGATATTTTAATTTGTGGTGATCAAATGTCTTTTAATTAAATGCAATTATTTGACTTGTTGATAGAATATTAAATTCTTAATTTCAGTAATAAAAATTCAAATCATAGTAACTTAAAATATAAAAAAAATACAATCATTTGAGATAGGTTGTTTTGGAGATTTTAAGTTGTTTTTTGAGTTGAATGGTTTAATTACAACATTAATGAAAACGTTTTCACCTTCGAAAGTGATGTGAAGATTCCATTTCAGATTAAGAGTATTGATTATCTAAGCCCGAAAAAAATTCTCTAAACACAGGAATTATAGATTAAATAATTGGAGCTTAATTTGTCTGTGTGAAAATTACCCCTAATTTTATTCAGGGTATTGGAATTTTCTATGACTCCAATCATGCATGTAGGTATTCTTTTAGATTATTAGTGCAATCTGATAAATATGATCTCAAGTCATGCAGGTAAATGAGCGTCTCAGATTCATGCCACTCTTACCAGTTGCAGCTTTAATGCAATGACTGTAGAAATCCGGTTCTGAATTTTGAGGGCTGCTTCTTTTTGCTTTCTAACGCGGAAGTTAGTGTCATTAAATTTCAGTCCCAATTTGTCCAATGCAAATAAAACTTAGTACATATTCCTATAGAAATGGTGATGAAAAAAAATATATGTTGAGTCATGACACAGTTATAATCAAAATTTATTCATCTAATGTCAATTAATTTTAGATTAAATATTGTTCGATCTAAAAATTTAACAGTTATCTAGTAAAGAAGAAGCCATAATTAGTTGTTTTCACTTGCCTTGTTCTTGGCTCCAAAGGACTGTTCGAATTTTTAGTCTTTCTAAATCCTATAGAGTATGTTGTTTAATATAAAGATATCAGAAATTTTGTGAAAATTTCAGGTTGAAATGTATTGCCGTAGGAGACGTGCTCTTGCCGCCCAAAGTCAAAAAGCAAAGACTTCATATCGTGGAATTATAAAATTTAAATTCATTTGCATAAAATTCAAATTGATTGAGTTCGATGAATTTATAATTATTATATTATTATAATTAATTAAATTAAAATTTAAAATTACGTGAGATTCATAAAAAGTTTATATGAAATTCACGCTTATAAATGATAAACCTTTATATAATTTTTTATCATAATTTGATAATTATAATTGCAAATAAAATGTTGAATATCCAACATTTAATTAGTCTCCAGACCTAATCTTAGATGCTCCCAAAGTCATGGTTGATTTATCTTGTAAATTAATTAAAAGCAATTTCTTCAATTTGCCCATCTTAATTCCTAAATCTACAGTAAATTGTTTGATCAAACCTTATTGGCGTGCGATGAAACTCAAAAAGACTACAATTTGAACATATTTGCTTGAATTACATTGTACACTGAGAAAGTTTTTATATAAAGGAAAAGGAAAGCCAATTTTTTCAATACGAAGAAGGTCATGATCACAAGATAGAGAGATGAATTATAGGTGCTAAAATTTTAATTTAGATCCGTTGGATATCAATTTTTAAGAGTGATTGCATACAAGAGTAAATCCAAATGGTGTGATGGGGGTGTCCATGCATGAACAGTTAACCCATAAAATTAGAAAACAAGAAAATTTAAAGAAAAAAATTTTCTTTTTGACACCCTAAAAGTAGGAAAACTAAGAACATTTAAAAGAACATTTTCTCTTAATGTCCTCAAAATTTTTTTTCTGAACACTCTTTT